TCTCGGGTTCCCAGTTGTGTTGGAAAAAATTCACCTTGATCTATTTCTTCGTGGCCTTTCTTGGTAGCACGGTCTCATGGGGAATCTTTAAAAGTCGAACGTTATACTTCACAGAAGAAGAACTGAAACGTTTTAAAGTAGCTACGTCTGTGTAAAACTAAGATAGTCTAGCAGCCAAAATGCTTGTAAAACATCAAGGTGCTTGCTCCAGAGCGCATCAAGTGTGTCATTTTAGTATTTATGGGGAGGACAAGCATTCATAACTAAAGCATCCTAAAATTTATTCATTAGATGTAAATTGTCGTTTGAGAGGATAGCATGGGTAACACTTCAAAGAATTTCTATATTTTGTTTAATTCCAGATAATATTATTTTGATCTGGAAGGTTTTGATGTTGAACTGAGCTTGGCTATGGCAGTGTGGACGTTTTTGATAGCAGACCTAGGCTATTGGAATTCATGGCTGTACTCAAAGCAGTCTGCTTTTGAAATTGACGTTCCTAGGAACACAGCATCTGCCTGATTTCAAAGGGGCGGAGATCTGTTCATTTAACTTTTTGTATAATAGGGGGTCTTGAGAAATGAAAAAGATGTCTTTGTATGCAGCAGGTCTTAATTAAAGCCTTGGAATCCCATAGGATGTCTTGGAAATCAGTGTGTTTTCCAGTAAGCTGGAAAGCTTTACTCACAGTTAGTTGTTAGTCATTTTGGATTGCTTAACCTGTTGATTTGTTTGAACAAATTGCAAGAGTAAAAGTAGCAAATGTTAAAACTAATCTATTGGAAACTTGTACTCATTAGTGCTACTTTAATGTATAGTGTTTAGACTCGCTGAATTTCTTACCTTTACCACAATTTGTTGTAACAAACTAAGTTCTTCAGACAATGCAGGAGAACTAATGGTAAGTGATTAGATACTTCTGAGTGTGCTGGAAAACCTGCTGATTGCCAATCACGTAATAATTCAGCTTGTTAAATGTGACCTATGCTTCTGGTTGTTTAAAATCATGGTTAAGACTCGCTTTGTTCTAACAGGATTACAGCCTTGGGTTACGGTGTTTCTTTGAACCTGGGTGTGTAGGATACAGAACTGTTGTAAAGGTAATCAGGCATCGATAGCTTCATCTAACATAATTACACCCAGTTGAAAGTTCATATAGCAGTGTTTTTATATTCTTTCTGTTGACCTGTCCCGTCCATAACTGTCATGCTGAATCACTGGCTTCTGGAGAAAGGCTAGACAGCTGTGCCAAGCTGTCCATGTTCTTGGTATGAAAGACAGGGTGGTTTGGTTCCTCCCTCCCCTGTTAGGTGCAGTGCAGTTGAAAATATTTTTTTTTTTTTTTAGACAGTGACCCCAGGGGTGCAAGATTGCAGGTAACGTTAGTGCTAAGTGGGAGTATCTATGCTACCTAAATACGTTTGTTGAAACTATGTTAAAACGTGACAACTGTGTCACATCCCTGTTCAGAAACAGATGTGTTGCCTCTCTCATACCAAGAAACGTTCACCATGCTCTTACCTATTGTACGATGAATAGATTACAGATGTGGTAATACTCTCTTAAGGTGGGCCGTCTGCTTTTGGCAAGCACTGCGTACCAGGGGACCTAAAAATGTTATTTTTTCATACTAGAAATGTGTGGACCAGGTGTGCTGGTGAAACTGTTAAGACAACAGTTCAAATGGTTACATAATGGCTTCTGCTTTCAGCTTCTGTAATGCTTATGAATCATTGCAAAAATTGCCTCTTTTTTCAAAAGCATCAACTTATTTATTGATAATTATTGGTGAATTTTCTTCCTGGAATAAGTTTTGGGGATTCTTTTTAAGGCAATAATTTTCGTGTTTATTTTGTAAACCTGCACCCAGGTTTTCTGTTTCTGCTTGCTGAGACAATTCATTTATAATGTCTCAGATCTTGAGAACAGCCACAGAGAAAAATGTAGTAATGTTTTCTGGTGTATCTGTGTATTGGGCCATTTTTCAGCTTCCATGCTCTCCATATACTAGGTCTTTTTGGGAGGAAATGGAAGTTCATTATTTACTGCTTGCTGATATTTGCATGGTTGCATCTCTCGCTTTTATTTTAGTTTTATTTTCTTCCTCTGTATTACTGGAAGAGGAGGAAAAAAACCCAGAAACCGTTAAATTTCAGAGGCCGTGAGAAATTAAATCCTTTACTACGAGTAATATATGTTGTCAGAAGCGGGCAAGAGATGCTTACCCAAGAAAAAGTGGTTGCATTAAAAGTAACTAATCTTTTCTAATAAGGTAAGATGGTAATTAAGATATATCCCCTTTTATATTTTGACCTGTGTGTTTAGCAACTAGTAGGAAGTGCATTTATCTAGGAAAATACGTGAAAGGTTATCAGGTATAATGGTTATCTTTGACGCATATATAATAAACATAATAATGCCTTTAAATATGCAGTCTATACAGTCTAGCTTTGTTGGTCTGGCATACCTTCCCAAGTATGAATTATGTCATCAAAGATCATTTGTTACTTTTAAAGTACATAAAAAGCTTAAATTTTCTCTTTTCATGGCTTAGTTGAATTGTCTAAGTAATTTGTACTTACAGAGTTTCCTATAAATTAATGGTTAGCTATGGAATTGAAATGTCTGAAGTCAGTTTGGGGCATTTGGTTCCCAAAAGGTATCATGTGGCAAGGCTTTTGTTACTGCTTTTTTAAGAGAGATGAGAAAATGTACCTGTTGTCTTGATTCAGTGTTTTCTAAGGCTGCCTCTTCATCTTTGAGGCACGCTTCACATCTCTTCCACTGTCTTGTGGAAGATAGCATTTTCCTCTGTTACATTTTTTCAAAATCACAGGGCCAAAAAAAAAAAAAATTCTTTAAGCTGCCATTGATGTTTAACTGCAGTATCTGCTTCTTTTGGGTTTACCTTTTTTTTTTTTTGATGGTTATTGACTGATTGCAGTCAGCGCACTTGACATTTCAGTGCATGTGACTTTCATACTTCAAATTTGTCATTATATCTTTTCTGCTTAAACAACTGTTTCACTACCTTGTAAAGTGTTTCTCTCTGATAGGGAGGAAGACGTTCTTGTAAGCTCAGACAGTTTGATAGAGTAGTCCTGAGCATGGCAGAGAGGATTCTTCGTGGGCTTTCCTTAGAGGGAAAAGCACCAGGGCTTCTCTGACCGACCTGTGAGTAGCTGCACTACAAAATTGTACTTGGGTGTAGTCTGTTCTCCCTGGCATTGTGCTTTGCCCACTGTTGAATGTCACTAGGCTTTGGGAAGCAGTCAACGGACCTTGTTGTGCTGAGCCAGTGGATATTTTTTGCTAAATTTGGATATGATGTCCAATCTTGAGGAAATGGGAGGCTTCAGTATTACTTTGTTTTAGGTAAAATTCACGATGCTGTCTGATTGGCAGACAGTCATTTTGGTTATTAAATGGTAGCTCATTGAAACACCTCTTCAGAGAAGCACAAAGAGAAGTAACTCATAGCCTTGAGCAGGGTCCTAAATTAAAACACTAATAGCTACTTTTTAACAATGATTTCCACTTAGGAGGAAAAGAAATCATTGCAGTATTTAACTTCAAAATTCAGTCTGGTTAAAAAAAAAAAACAAGTAAAAAGATAAATGCTTACAGGCAACATGAAGGCTATTTTGAAAATACTATAAGGCACTTAGAATGCCTTTGTGCCGTTGGTCAGAAATGATTATAAAATGATCCAGAAAAGCAGCAGAGTAAGGAGAGCATTAAAAGGTCATACTTAAAAAAAAAAAAAAAACCACAGTTTTGTTTTGGGAGAGACAATGGAGTGGAACTGAATTCTGATAAGTTAGTGAGTGGTGGTTTTTTTGTTGTTTTTTTTTTGTTTTGTTTTTTTTTGTTTTTTTTTTTAGAGAGGATGATTACTGTGGATGAATCTTAAAAATAACAACAACAAAACCCAAAAAAACCCACCCAAAAAAAAATGGAAGCCGGCTTTAATTTCAGTAGGGCCAATTGACAGTTGAATCTTGGGAAGGTAAAGTCACAGAAGAAAAATCTGTCAGCTACTTATATGAGTTTTTTTTTTTAGGGAACTAAGGACTCTTTCACATGTGAGTCAATTCTTATTGCTGAGTGAGACCAAAGGATTGTCTCATAGAAACGTAAGTGGTTTCAGAACATATCAACAGAACAAATGTTAAAAAAGAAATATGCCAGGACCAGAAGATACTTATCTAGTGGATCTAAAGGAATTCTTTGGGGTTTTTGGGTGCAAAATTGCAGATTTATTTTCCATAGCCTGTGGCACAGCTTGTCTTCTGAGTCTGAGAAATAGAGCACAGCAGCATTTTTTAAAAAGCTCTAGGTTGAACTGGAGAGCTGTAGATCACTAAGTTTAATTTAAGCAGACTCATAGCACTTGTAAAAAAGAACAGACTAACTGTGTCCCTGGGGAAATACAGTATTAAAGAGGAGTTGGTACAGTTTTCATAGATGGAAATCAAGAGAAATTGTTAGCATATTTTGGAGGAGCCAGTGAGCTGGTTGATCCAGGCAAAAATATTCATCAAGTTCCTTCATCAGAGCCTTTAAAGTATGCAGAAGAGGAAATATCCTCTTTTGGATCAAAATTACTTAGGAAAGAAAGGATGCTAATAGGTAATAGACTTCCATGGTTGAGGGAGGTTAACATCTGTCATCTGTGCTCTTTAAATGTATTCATATGTTATTTAGAAACCAGAGTGAATGGCAAATAATAACACTTATTCAGGATAGTGAACTTCCAGAGATGTTTCAGAAAGCTCTTGTTAGACTGAGTGCCTGGGCAAAGAAATTACAGGAGACACTGTTCTGGTAAAGGCAGAGTAGACTCTACAGGGGAAAAACAATTCTTGCTTAAATGTAGAGGGCAATGAACTCTCGAAAGAAATATTAGGATCTGTATGGATAATGTTCTGAAAATGTTAGTGGAGTGACAGTTAAACAGGCTGATAGGAATTTAGGGATTATTAGAAGATCAGTTTAGAAAAAGGAGAATGCACCATCATGCCATTATATGCATCTTGTGTTATGTGTGCATCTTGAACAGCAGCATGTAATTTTGGTCCCCCTTCCTGATTTTCTTCTTTATCTGAAGATGTGTTCGGAGGCACAGAGTGGCTTTCATGCAAGGTGGAGCAACAAAGATGAGAAATCTGTGACTTGGAAAAGGGATAGCTGAGTAGGAGATAGAGTTAGATGTTGCTTACATCATGAATGGTATTTAATGGAAAAGTTGAATAGGAGACAACTGTAATTCTTGTCTCCCTGTGAAGAGGAGAAATGCAGTACTAGACAATGTTTTCCAGAAATGAATGTAAAGGAAAGGTGAAATACTTTTTCATATAATGTGTAAGTAAAATTGTGGAATTCATACCAATAAGGTGCAGTGGAGGCAAAAACTATAAAAGCGTCTATTCAGGGTCTGGACAAAATAGTGAAAAATAGTTCTATTGGTGATCATAAACATGATGGTCTGTATGAAACTCTAGAGGAAAACCTTAAACCACCCTGTTTGGAAAACAGAATATGGGGAGGGAAGGTCCTATGAGCCCATCATTGCCAGAAGCACATTTAAGCACTAAATAATCTTTTGACCTAACGCACTAGGGCCATTTTAACGGGAGGAGCATCTTTAAATACTTCTAAAACAAATAATTCTTTTTTTTTCTGAGAGAAACTTCCGAAAGCATCAACCAAGTTAATTGAAAAATTACACAGACAGTATAAAAGGTGAATGTGCCATGGCGTGCTAGGTATACCAGCAGTTTCATTTGAGATTTAAAATTCTACGAAACTTTCAAGACTGCAAGTACATGGTAAGTAAGGATAAAATAAATAGTGCCTGCAGTGCTTTTGTGGGGTTTCAAGGTTTACAGGGTCATTTTTTCTTGCTTCTAGAATGCTTGTTAATATAGCAGGTGGCATGCATTCAAAGAAACTTGAGTAAAGGGGTAGTTTTTGTGGCATTTAGGAAAAATACCATAATTTGCAAGAAACTGACTTTGCTGAATCTGTGCTTTCTTGTTTGGGATGAATAGGGTAACTCGTATCTTTTGACAACTATTGATTCTAGCTTTCTGATTCAAGTAGACGCTGCTGTGTATTTGTGCTTAACTAATATTTTCAAGGTTGCTGGTCCATAGACCATCTGTGATGTCTTTATGCTATTTCTTTTCGAGTCTCTTCTGCCAAACGCAGAAGGATAATTGGATATTTTCTGTCCTCATAGCAGTCATGGTGCTACATCTCTCTCTTCTTTATACATGTTAGCAGAGGCATGAGAACTCCAGGGACAGACTGAAAGATGATCTAGGTGTTAGGCTTTGTGATTCTTCTGAGTGACAATGCATAGACAGCAATGCATTTATAAAACCAAAAGCCCACAAAACCTGACAAAACGACAGAAAAACCGCAGACAACTATGCTATTGTGGTAATAAACCTGCTGACAAAAGGAAGAATACTGGCCTATCTTTTCACTAGACACCAGGATTGTATTGATGTATGATGTCACTTAGTGGAGACAAACATTGTATACTGCTTTGTGTGTACTGCCACCAAAGCAACAAATTCTGTACAAACGCAATGTCTGTGTTTAGTAACCTTAGTAATGTGAGTTGAGACTTTATCTATGAAATCAAAACCACTCTAACAGAAAATCAGATCTGGAACGTTGAACATGCTTATACAGCCAAAGCTGAGTTCATGGAATACGTCATAGGCTCCTGATTATAGAGGAAAAATGGCTAATTTTCTTTCATTGTCCGGGAAAAAGAATTATTGATGTTCTGCTTAAGAGCAGAAAATAATTCACTTGTGAACTATGGTACCTAGTTGATCCCTGATACTTTTTCCTACCATTAGTCTAGAGGCTTTGAACTCATCTTGTTTCATGAGCTTGTTCCGACAGGGTGTCTCTGACACAATCCAGATTTAACCAAGGTTATTGAAATGGACATATATATCAGTGTGGTTTAAATTTACAGTGTCTACATGTAAGATTTCATTAGCAGCTACTGTTGTACTCAGTTACTAGGCAATGTGAGGTCTGCTTTGGGTCTGGAAGTAGCGTGTTTGTGTTCGTTGCCATACTGCAGCTCTCAGAAGGGATTATTATATTGGGTAAAGTGCCATGCTAATGTAGTTTTTCTACTTTTGAACCTCTTCATGATATACTGTGAATTTATCCGTTCAGATTGGTGCTAACTTTTGGATCTCTGTAGCACGCTTTATTGTAAGGTATAAATGTACCCTGAGGCTTGTAGAAAGTCAGTGCAGAACTAGGTTTAGAGGTTTTACTTTTGATATCTCCGTTTCAAGTAGTACTGCAGTACAAAGAAAAAGTGATTTTTTTTCCTGTTTGTAAATGCATGTACAAATACTAATAAAAACTATCAAAACCTTTTTGTTAACAAATCCCAAAAGCTAGTTACTGTTTTTCTCCCCTGCATTACTGCTTAAAATCTTGAATCAATGTAATTAAAATTATGTCATAGATACATATTTACAAAGTGATTAATTTTGACGAGTAAGCAATGGTTTGTTTTAGAAAATCTTGTATGTTGTTGTAAATCATGATGTGTTATCTTTGTTAGTAACATATATACTTTTACTAATAGGATACAGTCCGTGATTTTGTACTGCAGTGTGTATTGCTTTAGAGATTCATCTCTAAATGCTTTTCTATTGCTTAGCTTTGCTGGGAGTGCAAGAAGGGAATCCCTTAATGACTAACACCATGTTATTTCCTTAGGGTAATTGCTCTTAATTACCATTTCGTTACTTCCCCAGAGTGCAGGTTATGCACAAAGACTTTGCAACATGGATTATATTTCTGTCTTGGAACACATCATGCTGCAACTCTTTTTCCTCAGGCTATAACATTCTATTACTACTTCATCAGAGGTTCAATAAAACCCATTAGTTTGCAGAAATTGTCTATGTGCTTCAAAAATTATCATCCTTAACCTTTTAAAAGATGTTATTTGTAGTATTTGTCAAAGGTATGAGCTCTAATATAATGTTGAATATTGTTAAGACAAAAATTAAAGTATAAAATAGAAATAAACAGTTTTTATGGTAAGTGTTACTGTTTTATTCAACTGAGTGATGCAGATAAAATCTTTGGCCATGTGTTATTCTGCCTTCTCTGAAGATTATTCTAAAAAGAATGTAATCCTTTTTGAGCAATAGGAAAATACATGTATTTTGTGAAAAGGATTTTGTTAAACTCTGAAAAACTAGTTTTAAGACTTCATTTTTTCGTGAGGCAAATACAACTTTAGACATGCTTAACTAGTACTGATGTTAACACTCATGATTTTTTGACATTATGGATAACCCCTGGATATACAGAGGTTTTAATTTGAATACATATATTAATTCAAATTATTTGAAACAGTTCTTTCAAGACATTGGACAGAAACATCTGTTTTTATAACCTCTTATGAAACCTTTATAATCATTAGAAAATGTAACTTTCTAGAGGAACTCAAAACTGTAGTTCATTAAAATAGACATAATTAATTTTTGTGCAAATTTGATCTGAAATATATTATGTGGACATAAGAACTATATTAAGAGAATAAAATTTAATCTGCTATGTGCTTAGAACCCCTGAAATATTTCTGAACTGTTATAAGGAAGAGGTCGACACCATCTTTCTGAATTCTGCAGCCATTGGTAGTCATAATGGGTCAGTAATGATTTGCACATAAGAGAACGAAGAACAACTGGTCGCCTCAACAAACCATTCTCTACCACACCCTACGTCTAACCAAAAATACTCCAAAAAGAAAAAAAGTCATCTTTCACTTAAGTAAATGGTTATCTAGGAATAATACTAGGTCTAATGAAGCATGGTTCCTACAAAACTGTGTCTTGGAGGTGATTGACTTTGGTTCTGGGAAGGTATGATCTCTAACGCTTTTGCAACAATTAAAGCAGGAGAAATCTACTTTGTGGATTGTCTGGTCTCTCATAAAAGGATGAGCTCAAAGTGTTACTGAAGGCAGTTGTGATCCCACAAATAATGTGTTAAAAAATGTGGGGGAAGAAATGGCCTAAATCTAATTTATGTACAGATTAATATAAACTTCCAAATAATGCAAAAATAACATTAAGAGAATATGGAAGTTAGAAAGTCAAGTTTAAAAAAACAGTGAATTTTAGAATTGATGCTTGTGTGGTTGTAATTAAGTGCTTCTAAAAAAATAAGTTCAAGTTACCTTGTTGGAACAATGGATTTCTCTTTTCAGAGACAGATTTAGGTTTTTAGACAATTGCTGTACATGGAACAGAAGTGGTTGTTGTCTTTTGATTTCTTAAATATGTTAAGTTTATTAACATTTGGACTATATGGAGTTTTAACACTTCTAAATGAAACTCAAATCATTACTAAAGGAGGCTGGAAGGAAAGGCATGCCGTTTCTTTTCTGTTAATAAAATGCTTTAAGTCCAAAAATAAAGTGCCAAATGTGTTCTACACTGGGTAGTGTCAAGGCACATTTTTCAGCTTTTTCCTGCTTAGAAACTTTTATAAGAGGAAGAATAGACAATTCTCCAGACAAATTATTTTCTAGTATAGTTTAATTTCAGTGAATATATACATGTGAGTTATGCATCAGTTGTTTTATTGATAGATTTTTATCATTGCATGAAACAGAATGGTAGCAATGTGTTGCTAGAAATCTAGAAGTCAATTTAAATGAAGTCAGTGAATGTTTTAGTATTTAAGCATTGATTTTTGGAATGTAAATTTTAACTTTGGAGAGTAAGAAAATAAAGTATGAATAATCTATCTCCAAGTGTATTCATACCACTAGTTGTTCTTATCTTTGTATAGATGTGTTTCTCCAGTTTTTCTTTTTAAGCATATTTGAAATAATATTTAAATGGAGAGAAAGTGGATGGTTTTGCTCCTTTTCTCTTTTATTTAATTCTTTCAATAGTGGTATGCTTTTTTTGGGGGTGTTTCTTTTTTTTTCCAAATTAGTTTTTTTTCCTGTAATCCTGCATGAGCGTGGTGATATTCTGATGGATTGCTTAGTGGCAATTTTGATGTATCCTTTTCTTCCGTGTCCCACATCCATGTTTCATTTGTGCAGTAACTGAACTGGCATTGTTTGAATTCATGTAAGCTGATGGCCGTCAGGTGTGCTGTCTGGGCAGTTGCTGAGGCTGGTTTGGTCATCAGCCTCAGACCTCTCATCTGCTCCACTTTTTTGAGACATGGATCACATATAGCTGCTTTTGACCCGCAAGCCAGGATCCAAGGACTTCTGATACTTGCAGTAATTTCTAAGCTTGTGTCTAGTACATGGGCAGCCTCTACTCTTAGTTTAATCTTTTTCGAGACAGTACAACAGGAAAATAAGGAAAACAAGCTCAAAGAAGGAATTTCAACCTACAATTGTAGGCTCCGCAAATTACATTTTTTTCTGATTGTGTGAACTTGTTCTGAGTGGATGGACAGAACTTCAGACTGGCGGAGTCCATCCTGCCCCTTTCTGCCGTTCAGGGGCGAAGAGCTGTGAGTGCTGCCCTTGCTTTACCTTCTCCATTAATGCAGTCATAGACCTCTGTTACAGTCCCCCTTAGTTTTCATGGGTTTAGGCTGAAGAATCCTAGTCTACTTAGTTATTCCTGTAGCAGAAATCATTATAGCTTTTTGATTTCCAGTATTGTTCCTTGAATCCTTTTTTAATTATTCTTTGTTTTTTATACGGTGGGCAAACCAGAGTTGTATACTGGATTTATTAATGGCGTAATTGCATCTTTGTTTTCTATTTGCAAATAATTTTTAACGTTCAGTTTTCTAGGTTTCTTTGACTTGTCAGAATCGAATATTTTCCTAGAACTATAGGAAGGACCTTGCTTCTAAATAGTAGTAGTAATTTTATAACCTGTGATTTTTATATGTAGTTAGAATTTATTTCCTTCATTAATTTGCATTTATTAATATTTCATGCATCATATTCTGCTGAGCCACTCAGAGCTACTTCTGTAGCTCTTCATAGCCTGCTCTACTCTTCATTGTCTGTAATACGTACTGTCACCTGAAGGCTGCATTGCTCCATGAGTTACCTTCTTTTCAGTGTAATTAATGAATTTATTAAATAGCACAGATTCTAGTGGGCCTCCTCGGGTGACCACCTTCTTTTCCAGGTGCTGGCTACTACCTTCTTTTATTTCTAGTCCTTCAAAAAGTACTGCATTCTTTTCTTGCTACATTTGGATTTGTTGTGGGTTTTTGTTTCTTTTTTGTTTGTTTGGGTTTTTTTTGTTTGTTTTGTTTTGTTTGTTTTTCTTGAGGCTTTGATGATGGGCTTGTTTTAAAATGCCTTTTGCAAGTCTGAGTGAATGTTTAATGGATGGATCTCCTGCATCCCCAATACTTTTTGAGTCCTTCAGAGAATGGCAGTATATTGGAGAGAGATGATGTCTCTTTACAAAGGCAGTTTTGACTCTTCCAAATGTGGTACATAGTATTGTGCCTTGTAACTCTTTTTATAGTTTCTACAAACTTGCACACATTATAGATGTTAATTTTTTTAATACGTACAGATAGCACTATTCCATCGAGCTTTTAATGATGTCATCAAGCTGATTGATTGAGAGACAAATTTGCTACTTTGGATAGCAGCTATTCCATGATAGAACCAATCCTAGATGGAGTGTGTTTTTAAAATAGCATTGTTGCAACTACTGTTTCTTCTTTTAAAATTTTAGCTGTCCCTTTTCCACCAACGCATCGCTTGACGTCTGAAGAAGTGTTTGACACAGATGGTAGACCAAGGGTTGATATTTTGAAGAACCACTTGATAAAAGAAGGTCGAGTGGATGAAGAAATTGCACTTAGAATCATCAATGAGGGTGCTGCAATATTACGGAGGGAAAAAACTATGATAGAAGTTGAAGCTCCAATTACAGGTAATATTTCTAGATAATTTCACTCATAATTAAATTTGAAAGAAGCCAGATTTTTTCAGTAGTGGATTTTGTCTTAAAAATTGCTAAAATAAAATTTCTGTATAATGTTGTTGAATTATCCCTCACAACTGTATTTGTTTAACAGTACTGAAATGGTCTGACAAAATAGGCTGCACATTACTTTGCAAAATGAAGGCATTAAACCTATTGGAAAAAATAGTGGGATTGGTATTAAAATGACAAAGTAGAAAGTAGTTAAAGGCTGATGAATTACAGAATTCTATTTCCTGCAGTGTTATAAGTGGGAATAAATACCTCTATGTGGAATAGAAAAATGAACTCAGAATTATCCTGAAATCCAAACACGTGAAGAGAAGCTAATTGCTGTGGTTGAAGCTCATGCTGTGAACTGGAATTCTGAGTGAAAAATACACCTTTATAGTTCCTCTGTAGATGAGACTGACAATTTCATGTAAAACCATGTTCTTATGAGGGCAATAGTACTGGAAAGTGTTGAAGGGTTGTTTTAGCATCTTAAATGCACTAGGACCATATCCACCGCGATACAAAACTGATTCTTAGGGGGTCTTGGAGTATCTTCATGATTTGACTATTTCTATTTCTGTTTGGCCTGGTGACAGATGGAAGTGGTGTCCTTTAGTACTTTTATTTACAAACAATCCAGACTCATAGGAAATAGTTTGCATTGCATATCTGTTATTTATGATAATGAAAGTAGATTTGATTTTTTGTGTTCAGATCAGATTTTCTTTCGTTTTAATGTGTTTTCTTCTAAAAGGACCTGTATAACATTAATGTCTGAAAAGCTTCTTTTAGGGCATCAGCTTGCTTTAATTTGTTAGTATCGGATAAATGGAAGCTTTAAACACTACATCGTTACTATTGATGTCTTTTTAAAAAATGAATGATTGAAATGGTGGAAACCACTGAGTGACTATCTGGACTCTTGAGTCTTTTGAAGCTACAGATAAAGCTCAAAACTACAGTGTTGTCCATATGTTTAGAATTTTTATATTTCAGTTTATTCAGGTAGTTATCCAGAGCTACTAGTATATTGTCAGCTGAAAAAGAAGGAAATTTCTTGCAGTGTTTGAGTAGAAATCTTAAGAAAAGTGACATAAAAGAGGACATATTCTATTTAGTGTAATATTTTGTAGGTCATGATGACAAATGGTCTGCTCCAAGGGAATAACAACCTTTAAAGTATGGTGTGCCATATCCAGTATTTCTTTCTAAAACTAGAACAACTTTTTTTCCCCCAAAAAATATACTGAAACTCTGAGAAGTCAGAAGATGCTATTCATCAGTTGATCAGTGACATTTTGCATCAACAGAAGGCATAGTCCATCAAATTCCAGTTAATTATCATCAGCAATACCTCATGCAGAAACAAGAAGGCAGTTTCTGACTTCCACTGAGCCGGGAACTCCTGTGGGAATGAGGAGTTGTCTCTTCCATACATTTTTTAATTTATTTGTTTTTTAATTGTGAGATGATGTGGCCTTAACTGTATGCTCCTCAAAGTCTTCCCATCTGCAATCTTCAACACTTCTGCCTTAGGTTGCTGACCATTAGTCTTGTCCTGTCTCTTATTCTAAAAACACAAGAGAAAGCCACTGTTGAAATAGTGAACATGGTTATTTGAAGGATAAAAATAACTGAGAAAGAGAAGATATGATATTAAAAGATATGTTAGCCTGACTCAGAAGCAAAAGCGTGCTCCCTACTTTTTTCAGTCCCACACAGACACAGCAAATTGTTGCAAAGCAGCAGGCATTTCCAAATATGCATACCAAGGAGAATTTGCAAAGGTACCTAAGGGACTGGGGAGGACAGTAAAGACAACTGCTGACAACTTTCAAGACCTCAATGTTCAGTGCATTAACTGTGTTTGAAAAATATTCCACAATCTGCTAGACTCAAGCAGGGCTGTCACCAGCGTTGTCACAGGTAGTGAGGACAGCATCTTAATGAAAAACAAAGGTGGAAGCTTCAAAAAATTCTGTTATTCCTGCTTTATACCTGCCTTTCCTCTTAATTAGAAGTACTTTGTGGCTGTTTACTTAACTATAACTTAGTAACTTTTCTGTTAGATTTTTTTTTTAATTAATTTGAACAAAATTTTTGCTTGCAGTGTGTGGTGATATTCATGGCCAGTTCTTTGATCTAATGAAGCTGTTTGAAGTGGGAGGATCACCTGCTAACACAAGATACCTCTTCCTCGGTGACTATGTAGACAGAGGTTATTTTAGTATAGAGGTAACTGAATATATTAATCTGTTTTGTCCTAAATTTTTCTGTAAGCACACTGTCACAGAGGTTTTCAAATGAAATTTTAGGTCTGCTTTAACTTGTCAATGTGTTCTTCCTTGCTGTGCTTTCTCCCATGACAGAAGCCTGTTTAAAGGAGAATATTGACCAGTCATTCAGACTGTCCTGTTGGAATCACTAGACTTCCTCATTTTTCCTCTTCTTTCTTTAGTTAGTTTTTAAAAAGTTGAATTCTATGGCATTATTGTACATAATCCTGCTTCTCTGGTAATATGCAGGAAGGTGTATTTGTATGTTTTTGGAGAACAGGTGAGTTATGACTGCAAGATATTTTAATTTATTATAGGTGTTTATCTGTATAAAGTAGATTCGTTTTGCTTATGTAGTCAAATGTTTTTTAATAATTATGAATATTTTTCCTTACTAAAATTCTGAGGGCATTTACAGATATTCCCTAAGGATGACCTGTGTTTCTGCCATTAATTTTTCAGGTATTTTGAATTCAAATAATTTTTTAATTTTCAGCATATTTATTAAGTATACTACATTCCAGAAATATTCATTTATTCATATCAGTTAATTTCAGAGCTGTGATTTTAAAATTAACTATTCTTCTGGAGCCAGCTTGGAACGTGCCTCAGCTTGGAGTCTCTTCATAGATACCAAGTCTAATAGAGTGACATACCATTTGAAATAGTATTTTGCAAGTCATGGTGTATGATACTTCATTTCTGCATTAAAATTATGCTATTCTAATAACATGTGTGGGTATTTACTGTTAAGGACATGCACAACACCTTTTGGAGTTGTTAGGGATGGTAGACAAAAAGGAGATGCAGCAAGAGTGATTGCCTCGAAGTCATTTATAAGGAAAAATTTCAACAGACATTCCCTATTTATTAATTCAATGACCTTAGACTGTTCTTACTGTCCTCGAAAAGGACATTACATAGCAGCACTATATGTTAATATATCAAAACATGGCATGAAAGCTTTTCAACTGTTACACTTACAAAAAACTTTTGATCAATGGATGTTACTGAATATATTAATAAGAATAGGCTCAAATTTTTTCCTCATGATTTTAATTATTTTTTTTATTATAACATCTGGCATGCTGAATATACTTGCAGAATATAGAAAGATCTGCTAAATATACTCTTGAAAACCACTACAGGGTTCTTAAAAGGCTTGTCTTTCTTCATTGAGATAATCTGCTCGCTTCTGCTCTGAGTGGCTGTGGGAACATCAGTGAAGCATATGGCAGATTATCTGAATGAAGTTGAATTGCTGCAAGTGCATGAAGGCAGGGCTATGCTTTATGGTCCTGTTGTGAAAGAAAAGAAGTAGGAGGTAAAAGTCATCCGTTTGTTCTTCATTGTAACCTTAAAAGAAATTTTCCTACTTAAGTTTTAACGCTAATTAACATTTAGGAAGTTTAAGTTGACGTCCAGGAATTTTTGTATATGGTTAGTTTAAAATCTTTCTTAGTGATTGGAAGTGTAATATACTTTTGGTAAAATGTTTGAATTTTCACAGAAAAATGGAGGTGAAATTTTCTAAAAACGTACAAACATTGAAATTTGATTTTTCACTAGTAAATTCTTGATCAGTCTCTCCTGAAACATCTTTAATTGTGTTGATATTTTAGTAGTAGCCCATTTCCAATTTAAAAATGTCATCACTTCTAATAGGAAAGGTAATTACAGGCTGCTGTGATTGTGTATAACAAACTGCTGGAATCAAGATGGAGTCCTTCACATAAGTGTGTGCAAATTCTTCTTTTCTGTTCCAGAAGTAACAGGACGTAGAGAACTCTGACATTAGTCTGTCTATATTTGATGATAAGAAAAAAATATGCCAGTGCGGGAAACATAAAAAAAAAATTTCTTTTTGTACTTTACAGGTTACATGCTTGAGAATGTGTCAATCAGCAATTTAATTAAATGTAGTATTCATTAATTGAAGGGAAGGCAGTATTTTGCCACTTTTCTATTAAATATTTTCAAGGTTGACGGCTTTTATAAATTTTTCATACAAACTAACTTAACTAAAACAGTTCACAATTGAATCTGGGGACTTTGCAATATATCAGGATATTTTAGAGTTACAGAAACTTTAGAAAGCAAGTGGTATCATTAGAAAAATAACTATTTTGCATATTTTTACTAAGAAGGTAAGAAAAATTCAGTAATTAGTTTAGCTAAACTTCACAATAGAGGTCTTTGATGTATTTCTCCATGTTCGCTGTTTTTTTTGAAGTGTTCCTTTGTTTTCTTTTTTCCTTCATGTACTTACTATTCTATGCAAAATAACTTTGAAGAATGATAGCTTCAGGGTACTTGTGTTGATTAAGAACAATAATAATAATAACAATTTGCAGGTGACTTCAGTGTAGCCCAAAACTTCTGGAGTTTTGAGATTTCTGTGCTCAGTTAAATACAGGAAACAAATTTGAAATTTAAGAAATACATTTTGGGCATTCAAGACTGCTGGGTGGTAACAGACTCTAAGCTGAAAAAATTGTGTGTGTTCTGTAGCTCTGTCCTTAACTCTGTTTGCTGCTGATGTTGCAGTAATAATGATACATAGAAACTTAGTGTAGTTCTTTGAATTTGCTGCTTGAACATTGAATAACCAACCAGCTTTCCCATTTTTTTTTGAAAAAAAAAAAAGGTTTACATTGTCCATTCTTAGTTTAAAAACAATCTCCAAATGATATAGCTGACTTTAATGTAGATAGTTTTGTGGAGCTTTTTTCTTCAATCTCTGTTGATAAATGTCTGCTTTCCTTCTTATGCCAGTGTTTGGAATCATATTATAAAATCAGATTTTACGCGTAAACACATACATTATTTGTCCAGATGAAAGTGTTCTGCCGTGTAATTCTACTGAGTTTATTTTATTACTGAGTGTTCAGTAAAAAAATTTTTTTTCAGCATTCTTTGCGGCTGTTCCTAAGAAAAATAGTAAGCAATTTGCATAACTCATGTCCAGAACTGAACTCGAGGAGTAGTACTGTATTTTAAAATGGTACATTAAGCTGTACTTGCTTTTGAAGCTGTTAACATTCTTACTCAATGTTTCTCAGTAATAATTTTTGAAGTTCTTAAATAGTGTATTTTACTGGGTATCTTTGTTTTTCAACAGTGTGTGCTGTACTTATGGGTCCTGAAAATTCTTTACCCAAGCACATTATTTCTTTTGAGAGGCAACCATGAATGCAGACACCTAACAGAGTATTTTACCTTTAAGCAAGAATGTAAGTACTGTCTAAGTATGTAAAATTAGCCTACTTCCAACCCACTGATCTATGGTCTTTCATTTTACTTGAGAGATGTTTGTCTGTGAGTTTAATTGACATCTTGCAAACATTTGGAGGCCCCATTGACTTCTGTAGAATTGCTTACAGTTAAAATGTGGCATTGGGAGTGCAAGTTGTAAGGAAGACTGCTGTCTGTAAAGATACATTATGGAGTAAATGTTGATGTATCAATCCTGATTTTAAAATCCAGGAGAGAGGAAGGTTATTTTGCTATCTGGCTATAACTGGGAGTGCAAAGTAACTTGCTGAACAGCACTGTGAAGCTAGCAAGAAAACCCTACTGCCGAGTCATTTTTCCATTTGGGGAATTGATTTCAACTATACTAATAAGATAACTCTTAAGCTGCTCCTCCATTTGGAGGCTTGTACAAGCATTGATCCAGTGATAAATGGATCATTTGCCCTGGTAAAACTCTCTTTGATGTAGGTAAAAGTGATGTAATCTAAAAGCAGTTCTTAGCTTTTCACTGTAAATGAGAAATCACAGACTTCTCAGTAGTATTTTACACTGAAGTATGCTATATAATTGTATAAAGCAAAATAATTCCGTGATTTTTTTTAAAAAACAAAAATAGTTTCTCCACACTTGAGATAACAAAAGAAGAAATGAAAAAAGTTTATTGTTCTGGAAGAGAAGAAATGTGCTTCCTGTTGTGGTGTTTGGAAATGCTCATTTAAACTAAAAAACATTCATTGCTTTGGGTTTTTTTAAGCGTTCACTTTGAGATTTGTTCTTATAATTGTGATCCACTAGATTACTTCTTCCATCCAGTATGAATTAATTAATGTTTCATATTTTCTTTCCTACAGGTAAAATTAAGTACTCGGAAAGAGTCTATGATGCTTGCATGGAAGCTTTTGATTGTCTCCCTCTTGCTGCTCTTTTAAATCAACAGTTTCTTTGTGTTCATGGTGGACTTTCACCAGAAATTAATACACTAGATGACATTAGGAGAGTGAGTATTTTGTGTATTTGAAAATAAATGGAAATGCAGATATTTATATGATGCTGTACAAAGTCATGTTTGTGAAATTGTCAGTATATGGTTTTCTGTTCGTGTCTCTTTTGGAAGTATAAATCAGGAACTGAAATGTAGACTAAGCAGTATCATAATTAAAAACTCTTGGATTATCTAGTGCGTTTTTCGTTAGTAGATCTCATTGGGACAGCTGGGACTGTTACAAAATACACATTAAAAAACCCTCAAAAACTTCACACAGTTTCCCAAGACAGGTAGTACATGTAAAGAGCTTTATATCCAATCAAAAAGTGCTTTGTATTTCTTTCTAGGTAAGAGCTAGCGTTCTCATGACTTTCAGGACAAAACTTGTAGAAGTTAATTGTAGTCTTAAAATTGTTTGGTATGTCAAACATCACATTTCAGTTATTCTTATATTTCTTTGAAAACTTTTTTTTTTACTCTA